ATATTATATTAATATATTGTGGTTAGGTGAAAGTTTACAGAGCAAATTGGTTTCCATTCAACAATCCATACACACAGTTTGTTTTATGAAATTGTTGCAACCCCAACAATGTAACAGCACTATTCCCACTTCCTCCCTGTGTTTACCATTTCCCTTCATTCTTCTTTCCTTTTCCTTCCTGTCTTCAGAATGTTAACCCCATGCAAATACAGCCCTTTTGATGTTTGATTGTTCTAAGGAGCAAGTTCCTCCCTGGTATTATTCACCTTATAGGCTTGTTTATCATTAGACTGAAAGTTAAGCATGGGGGTAAGTTTAGATCCAGGCTTGAAGTGTGTCTAAAAGTCATAGTCTCAGGGGTTTTATCAGCTTCTAAAGTGGGAGCTCTGGTAGCATAGTGGCTAAAGCCACTTGCCTGCTAAACAGAAGGCTGGCGTTTCAAACCCACCAGCCACTCCTCGGAAGGAAGGTTGGGTAATCCTACTTCCGTAGTGATACTGCCTCGGAAACCCAAGGAGGGGTTGCTATGAGTCAGGGCCGACTCGACTGCACATAACAACAACAACAACAAAGTGGCTGGTGGGTTTGAACCACTAGTCTTCTGGTTAGCAGTCAAATGCCTTAGGCACTACACCATCAGAGCTCCTGAATTATTAGGCTGAAAGTTAAGTCAATGGGGTTAAGTTTAGATCCAGGCTTAAAGTGAATCTAAAAGTCAGTCTCAGGGCTTCCATCAGTCTCTAGCAAACCAATAAGCCTAGTTTTATTTTTTTTATTTTTATGATTTTGAGTTTTGTTCCATATTTCGCCCACTCTACCTGTGATCTCCTGTTATGATCCTTTTCAGAGTGGTCAGGAGTGATAGCTGGGCACCATCTAATTCTGGTCTCAGGGTCATGGATGCTTGGATTCATGTGGACCATCAGTTTAGTTGTTTCCTTGAGTCTTTGATTTTTTTAATTTGTCTTTGCTCTGGGTAAGGAGAGACCAATAGCTGCACCTTAGCTGGCTCTCACAAGCTTTAAAGACCTTAGTTACTACTCTCCAAAGTAGGAGGTAGAACAATCGAATACTATGCAACATTGAAAAATAATGATGGATCTGCAAAACACCTTGTAATATGGATAAACCTACTGGACATTATACTGATTAAGATTAGTCAATCACAAAAAGACAAATACTGTATGACACTACTACTGTAAAAAGTCAAGAAAAGGTTTACACACAGAAATATTGAAGGTTACCAGTGGTGGGAGGGGGAAAAATGATGACATAAAAGAGTTGAACAAAAGATTTCAAAGGACAGCTAGAGAAGACAAAATAAAGTATAATAATGAAATGTGCCAAGATCTGGAATTAGAAAGCCAATAGGGAAGGACATAGTCAACATTTCTCAAGCTGAAAGAACTGAAGAAAAATTTAAGCCTTGAGTTGCAATAGTGAAGGGCATTATGGACAAAATATTGAATGATGTGAGAAGCACCAGAAGAAGATGAAAGGAATATACAGTCACTGTACTAAGAAGAATTGGTCAATGTTCAATCATCAGGAGGTAACATATGATCAAGAACTCATGATATTGAAGGACAAAGTTCAAGCAGCACTGGAAGCATTGGCAAAAAACAAGCCTTCAGGAACTGACAGAATACCAATTGAAATGTTTCAACAAATGGATGCAGTGGTGGGGGGCGCTCACTTTTCTATGCCAGGAAATTTGGAGGATAGTTATCAGGCTGACTGACTAGAAAAGATTCATATTTTGCTCATGCCAAGAAAGATGATCCAAAAGAATGTAGAAATGTTTGAACAATATCATTAATATCATATATAAGTACAAATTTATAGAAGATAATTAAGAAATAGTTGCAGTAGAACATTAATAAAGATCTCCCAGAATTCAACCTCAATTCAGAAGAGGTTGTAGAATGAGGGATATCATTGCTGATGTCAGATGGATCTTGGCTGGAAACAGAGAATAACAGAAAGATGTTTCTCTATATTTTATTGACTATGCAAAAGCATTTGACTGTGTAAATCATAACATATTATGGATGGCATTTTGAAAAATGAGAATTCCAGAACACTTAATTGTGTTCATGCTAAACTTGTAAATAGACCAAGAGGGAGTCACTTGAAAAGAACAAGAGGATATCATGTGGTTTAAAATCAGGAAAGGTGTGTTTTAGGGTTGTATCTTTCTACCATACTTATTATTCTGTATGCTTAGCAAATAATCTGAGAAACTAGAGTGTATGAATAAGAACTTGGTATCAGCATTGGATTCATTAACAACCTGAGATATGCAGATGACACACCTCTGCTTGCTGAAAGTGAAGAAGACTTGAAGCACTTGCTGATGAAGATTAAAGACTACAGTCTGTAGTATGGATTACACTTCAACATAAAGAAAAAAGAAAATTCTCACAACTTAACCAATAAGCAACAACATGATAAATGCAGAACAGATTGAACTTGTCAAAGATTTCATATTACTTGGGGACTTCTGGTAAGATGGAGGACTAGGCAGACAAGCCACACAGACCCTCCTCAACAAAGAAAAGAGAAACCAATTGATAGAGATACAGAATATAATCCTGCAGCTCTGAGCTTTGAAAGAAAGTACACAGAAGTAGATAAGACACCAAGGAAAACCGGAATGAAAACTGAGTACAGAGACAGTCAGAGCAGTGGACTGTCAGTTTTTCTGATGGGACCAACAGCCTGAATATTTCTAAGTGGTATTGGGACCCGAGAATTGACCTAAAGATCGGCTCTGGTTGTCAAGGGCTGCAGGAATGACAGCACTGGTGGCCTGTGAATAGGAAGGGAAACAGCAAGGAGGGAGACAACGTGAGCTGTAGACTTTCCCCTATCCAGAGGGTGTAGCCATTTTGATTGTTTACATGTGGCAGCCATTTTAAATATGTAAAGTGACCAAGGCTGCAGCCATTTTGAATGTTTACAAGTGGTGGCCATTTTGGATATTTAAAGTGACCAAGGGCACAGTCATTTTGAATCTTTACAAGTGGCAGCCATTTTGGATTTTAAACTCCCAGCATTCTCATTTGGATTCCAGGGACTTAAGAATAAGCTCTGTTTGTCAAAGATGGCAGGGACATACGAGAGGCTGACAACAGGAAAGGAGACAGGTGGTAAGTGTATAAGTGTTGTCAACTAGTGAATAGAGGAGCATAGCACAGTACCCTGCTTACATGGATAACATATAAACAAAACAAAGAAAATGAAAATCATGGGCAAGTCACTCCAACATACAATCACCAATTAAATATAAACACAAAAATGTCACAATGCCTCAGAGGCAACAGACCATCATAGTCCACACAAAGAAGCAAGACAAAACAGGAGAAACAAGAGACCAGGATACAGACTCAAAACACATCCCTGAGGAAGACACAGCATTGGAATTCCCTGATAAGGAATTCAAAAGAATTATATTTAGGTATTTTCAACAAATTGAGAGGCAGATCAAGGAAAACACTGACAATGAGGAAAACACAGAGAAAATCCTACAACAATTTCAAAAGACAATACAAGAACAAAATGACAAAATAAATGAAAAATTAGAAATGATACAAAATCTACAGACAGAAATCCAGAAGATTAATATTAAATTTTCAGAAATAGATAAGACACTGAATGGGCAAAGGAATAGAACTGAATCAATGGAAGACAGAATTACTGAGATTGAAGGCAAATACCTGAATACTTCTTTGGAAAGGGATCAATCAGAAAAAAAGATCAAAACAAAATGATGAAAGCCTAAGGTTCATGTGGGATACCATCAAAAGGAATAACCTATGTGTAATTGGAATTCCAGAACAGGAAGACACAAATAAAATCACAGAGAAAATTGTCAAAGATTTGTTGGAAGGGAATTTTCCTGGTATAATGAAAGATGAGACTATATCCATTCAGGAAGTTCAATGAACCCCAAACAGGTTAGACCCCAAAAGAAAATCACCAAGACATATTATCATCAAACTTACCAAAACCAAAGACAAAGAAAGAATCCTGAAAGCAGTACAGGAAAAATGAAAAGTTACCTACAAGGGGCAACCAATAAAAGGAAGCTTGGATCTCAGTAGAAACCATGCA